CCCTCATCACCTCACTGGGTACTGTGCTTACAACACATGAGCCTCTGAGAAAAACACTTAAATCACATCTAAACCATGCAATGCATTTGGATGTTTCTTGTTTTCTGGAAAAGAGATTATAAGAAAAAAGTTCTTTACAGGCAAGATTTTCAGATTGGATATGAAGTGCTTATTTTGTGCCAGATTAAAGTTAATCATCCTCTTATCAATGTAAAAAAATAGTAGTCATTTTCTCATTTTAGCACCCCTATTGAGTCATGCTTAGTATTTCCCAAATTTCATGTAGGTGCTAGTAAGAGTAAGAATGAAACATTCCCTCTTAGAGCTTTTGAAAGCAACACATAATTTACTTATTCTTTTTTTCCTCTGTATTTTAGGGAAGGGTCCACAGGGTGTCCAGGGTCTCACTACTAGATCAGACTCATAGTAATCTGCCTGTTTACAGCCTCCCAAGAGCTGGGATTACAGATGTGAGCCACCACACCCAGTCTCAATTGCCATCTCAACATGCTCCAGGGGTGGGGCCAGCACAGTAGGCCTGGGGATTGAACCCCTGGCCACTCGTGCCTGCTTGCAGGGTCTTTAATCCACTGAGCTATTTGGCTGGCCCACAGCACATAATTTATAATAGCAAAGGTAATGTTCTTGAAAGCACAGTCACAGATGCATGGCATTGGTGTTATAAAGGGCCAAAGCTTGCTTTTTCTGGACTAATACTTTTATGAATACTATATGATAGTGAATCCTCCAGATTTCTTTGTATGTTGTACCTCTTCTGAGAAAAGTTTGTACTCCCAGAAAATGTCAACAGGTAAAGATTCAGCTTCAATAAAGATTTGGTTAATTAAATTAACATGTTACCTTATTAAGCAGGTATGGGTGTGAGAATTTACATGAATTTATAAAGTAATATTGCAATAAAAAATTCTCACCCTATGGAAATTTCCACTTCATGTCAAGGACAAGGTCAATTGGATGAGGGCCTAGGGATCTGTATATAGTAGTGGTGACATAATAAGAGGAAATGAACAGAGCCCCTTCATAGGTTGAGTTTTGCTAGTCACATGAAGTCTAGTTTGGGAATTAGAGGTAGGAACCAGACTTTTTTGTTTTTAGGAAGAGTCATTGGGCAAATTAATACTACTGATTCAGGTGTTAAAAAAGGAAGGCCTGGAGGTAGACTGTGGCAGGAACACTCTCTAGTTTTTACAGGAAGAGAACAAACGCCCCAAGTTCTGTGCATTTCTTTATTTTATGACCTAGCCACAGTGAGTATTTTCAAGGCTGTGTTTTCCTTTAGCTGGGCAGAAATGTGGACCAGGACAGAAAAGAGTCTTCTACAGATTGACATTTTCCTTTGGAGATGCTCATGACCCTTCCCATTTGACTTATTACTATTGTCCTCCCTGAGCTGTTGTGTGGGAGTACCTCACATGCCAATTTACACTTGAGATACCTGTTCTCATTTGGAGATGTTTTTGTTAACTTCATTCAACAGACAACCAAATGCCATGGTAATGGGGTTTCAGAAAAAACAATGCAGAAATTTCTCTTTATTTACAGTTTTTACTTCTTATCCTTGAGTTAAAACCTTCCCCTTGGAAGCAGAAATTCAGATATGATGCATTTATATTCTCAGGTAACTTTGTCCACACTATTTTTGTGACTCCTCCAAAAGTGACCTGTGTCTCAGAGGTTAGAGTATACTGATTTCATTCAGTAGAACTTTTTAAGTCTTTCTGCTTGAAATTGCTTTTTCTCCATCCTTATTTGTAGAAGAAAATGACAATTTTAGAATTTCAGATGGCTTATTTGTATAATTACATGTATAGAACAAGAGAATCAGAATGATCATTTTTAAGTTGGTGACTTTTCACAGACCCTGTTGGTAAATTGCAATTCTGCCAGTTTCTTTGAAGAGACGCCAGACTTAAATCATCTATTTTTTTAAATGTGATCTTCAAAGGGCATTGATTTTCAGGTCTGTGTTTAACACTGAAATTCTTTGGATCATGCACAGTTTTAGGAAATGTAAATTGCTCGAAGTGTGTGTGTGTGTGTGTGTGTGTGTGTGTGTGTGTGTGTGTAGGGGAGGGTTTTTATAAAGATGGGTAGGCAATTTAAAAGTAATCAATATTCAGGATCTGACAATCATAAAAACGTATCAACTGCTTTTCTGTTATAAATGCATGTTTTATTTCAACGCCAAGCTGATTCACACTAGAAATACTAGAACACAAAGAGCTTGTATGTGAAAATGTCTGTTCATGGGCTGGGTGCAAGTTCAGATGTTCAGAGAGCACAGCAAAGCACACAGGCGTGTCAGTTCAGAGGCACACATTTTAGCCAGGCTCCGTTGTCATTTATGACCTATCCAAGTGGCTCACAATCATTTTCTTCCATGGCCTCCTTGTCACTTGACCAAACTTTGCAAATACTCTTTAATTTCCTCCTCACTTATGTCTCACAGTATTTTGAAAAGCTGGTTGAAGATTATGATCAAAGCAGCAGTCACAATATCCCAAAATTCCTTCTGTTACCTTTTTCTACTCTACTAACCCAAAGAACTTAGTAGGTACCGTCTTCTTGAACTGCATGTTTTAGCTTCTCTCCTTTTCTTGTCTTTTCTTTCTCATCTCTACTGTCCTGCTTCCTATTCTGTCCTTCAGATCCAAATCTGGGATTATTTCCTTTAATTTTAGCTTTTAGTCTAAGTAGTTGCAATGATTCTGAGAAAAATGCAGGTTTTCAAGTAAATTTTCTAGGTAACTCTCTTGTGATTTAGCAACACAAAGGAGTAAATGGATGTAAACATCTTAATTTACATGTCCCAGTAGATATTTACTTGGCCAGACATCATTAGAGCTACAAAGACACAAAGCTCAATTCCAGCCTTTAAAGAGATTACATAGGCATCAATTTAAGCCATATACATATGAAATGTATAGTACCACTAAATATTACAGAGCATCCAACGATGCTATGTTCAGGTACCCAAAGGCATGAGACCAGACTTTTTGTGTTCTTTCTGCTTGCTGAGGCTCCCCAAGTGTACATGCAGCCCCTGACACCTGCTGTACTTAAGTGCACAACAGACACATGGATCCCAGTGCAATCTGCAAAGGTATTTCTGTAATGAGAGTGTGCATGACACAAAAGATCTCATGTGACTAACAAGAAGGAAAGGATACTAATAAAATGGGAGTAGTCGTGTCAGTTCTTACTCAAGTGTTCCCAGAACTGCAATATTTTGCATCCAGGAGGAGTCACAGCTGCTGTGGAGCACTACAGAATGTGTCAAGTTGCGCAGAACATGAGGGGCTGAACTTGGGGCCCAGCTCCCTACTTTCTCTGTTAGACCTCAGTGGAGAGCTCTAACTTGGGGTGGTGGTTGTTATGGATGAGGGGCCAGAACAGAGGGTCCTCCTTTTACTTACTTTGTGTTTATCTTCTCAACTCAGTGGCTTCAAAAAACTCTCCTTACACTCTTAAACAGCTAACCTTCATTTTTTTTATATAAAGGTAAAGCCCTATATTTATATTTACTGTAATATTTATGAGGAATTTAACATGGCTCATAAGCTCTACTAGTATGTTTTTGGGGATGGTTGCTGTTTATGTTAGCGCTCTGGTTACAATGTTAATGGTTTGAGTCATTTATTCCTGTTTTCCACACAAATCTTGCTCACTCTACAGTGTGATTTCTCAGGAATACATACATCCTTTTATAGTAGAAATGCAGCACTGCAAACTCCATTTTTCAATGAAGACAAGCAGGATCTGGCTGCGGGAGTGGATGTTCTGGGAAGAACACCAGCAACTCCCACAGGGGTATGAGCACAAACTCTTCCAAGGGCGGGGGAGGATTCTACCTGAACAGAGTGCCAGGCTCTAAAGTGCGGCTAAAGTGGGCTGGACCAGTCATTGAGTGGTAGATAGAGTCTTGCAGGGATCCGGAATTTTGGGGGGCAAAATGCCTTAGAGAGCTTCTGGAGCAGGCAGCGCCCCCCATGTTCTAGAGCCGTTCACCTGTAGGCCTGCGCAGAAGGGTGCGAGCTAAGCCAAGACCAGAACAGCTCAAGATGGGAAAAGCGACAGTGAGTGCTAAGAAAGCACGGGGCACCTGAGACAACCGTGAAAGCGGGGAGTTCTACTGGGGGTGAAGAAGAGGGTCCCCAAACTGAATGATCCTCTTGGTCATTGCGACTGGTGCATTAAGGTGTCCCGGGGAACAAACTGAGAAGCTGGAAGACAGAGTAAGCTGGACAGGAAAAAGACAAAGTAGGCTTTGCTTGGCTAGCGTCCCCAAGTTTCCAGCACAGAGCGACCGGCTGTGCCTCGAAGTCCTAAGACCGGGTCCCAGAGCGGGGTGAGGGGCATGGGGTTGCGGGGAGGAGAAGGAAAGGGAGGAGAGGGGGCCCTTTCTCGAACGCTGCAGACTGGCTCCAGTTCCTGGCACAGGCATCCGTGTCCTGAGTGGGGAGAGGGGGGAGCCCCCAGGGCATCCCAGTATGGAATGCTCCGCGTAACTGTTCCACCGAGTCCCTTTCCTCCAAAGGACCGTGCGGAGGGTGCGGCTTGGGTCTGGGGTCCGCCTTCCCGCTGCGATTCCCGGGCCAGGAACCCGCGTGCTTCGCGCGGGAGGAGGGGTGATCGTCTGGACTCCGGACGCCCGGCCCCCTCTGTCCCTCCTAGCGGACCCGGGGTCCCCTGCCCGCCCACTGGACGCCCTCCCCCAACCCCGCCTGCGGGACATCCCCCCTTCCTTGGCCCGGCCTGGCAGCCCCGCCTCCAGGCCCCGCCCACACCCGGCTCCGCCCCGCCCCTCCGCTCCCCGCCCCGCCCCCTCCACTCGCTG